CTGCCTCCTCCTCCTTGTCTGCTGAGTCCTTATATCTTAAAGCATCCTTCTTGTCATTTCTTCTGAGTCCTCCTGCTTCAGCACCCTCAAAATTTTGTCTTCCAGAAAATGTGTTTTCATTCCCACATCTGCTGTTGGAGGTCATGGGGGGGGGTTCGAACCAGTGACCTCCGGGCAGTGATGGTTGGGGATGAGCCAGCCCATGCCGCCCCCAATACCGGGAACACTCAGGCACAATGGGGAGCCTAGTCAAGCAGTGACTCATTTATTGCAGGTGTTACAGAGCTTATAAAGGCACCTGGAAATCCCCCCTCCCCCCTGAGGGTGTATCTTAAGGATGGTCACGAGCTGATCATGCACTCCTCAGCAGTGCTGAAGTATTCTTCAGACTTTCAAAGCAAGTGAGGCCACACCCCAGTAACTTCCTCTCGGACTTCTGCAAGGTGGGGCCTTTAGGTCCCTATAGGTCATCTCCTCTTGCAAGTCTGTGACGAACCCTCCCTCATCTTGCTGCTAGAATCTACATACAGGCTGCATCTTCCTCCAACCACTGGAGACCAGGGGCTCACATCTCATTGTTTCCCACATGGCCTAACACAATACAAATTAATTTATTTAACAAGTTGATAAGTACTTAAATAATAAACTGTAAGCCTATGCTTTTAAAAAATAAGAAATATTGAAAAGATATGAAGCATTTGATAAAATTAATATATAAACTGCTTACTTATTTTATAAACAACCAAGTTGCATAATATCTGACAAAATTAACACCCTATCAACTGTTTGGGGGATATGGTAGACTTTTTTCTGAGACAGGGTCTCACCATTAGCCCATGCTGATCTCAGACTTCCAGCAATCCACCTGCCTTGGTCTTTCAAGTGCTGGGATTTGAGATACTTGCCACAAAACTAAGCATTCCTAAATAGTTTTGAAAGGAAATTCCCTAGTCAACAACTTGGTATTACAGTTGCCAAATCTCTGTTAAGAAAAACTGAAGTTTTTTCTGGGAAGCCTGTAAAGTGTAAGAGAGAATTTGTACCCAAGGAAAAACTGGGGTAGTGGGCCAAGTGACTTGGGTTCTCAATTAGCTGCCTAAACTTGAGAACATACTCCCACAGAATGTGGCTGAGGGAGGAGTAGGCAGTGTGTTACGTAGGAAATAACAAGAGCCTCTGCCACATAGTATTGTTGTGAGGAGTAAATGTATTCATACATGCAGAACCCAGTGTCTGGCATATTCTAATTACCCCCCAAAATTCTAGGTGCTCTTTTTCTCTTCAGATAGAGTAGCCTTCATCCTCTAATTCTGACCTAGAGGGCCTCCAGACATAGTTGTTCACTGTTGTCTTCAGGGAGCCCTACCTCATAATCCTCGATTAGTTTCTTGCTTTGCATGTCAGTTTGGTTTTGTTTAGAACTTAAAACAATGCTGGGCTCTTATGTTCTCATTAATCTTTTGCATTAAGCCACCTGAAGGTCTTAAAACTAGAAACTAGTGTTTTCCAACAGTGAATCACAAAATTTTGTACTTAAAGCACAATTCATTGTTTTACCTTGATTGTAGAAAAATATCTAATCTTTAGAGTTTCTTCATTGAGTGCATGTTCTGTGGTAAACGGTGCTGTCCAGAGCCCTAATGCGTTACCTTCTCCTGCCAATCCCAGCCAATAGGCTGAGAAGACCAAGAGATGAAGGGACCTGTCCAGTTATTCAACTAGTGACTGGCACAAACGGAATTTCGTCTACTGCAGAATTCCATCATGTCCCCACTATAGTCCTTCCTGTATCAGATTCTTTTCAGGGTCTTGTTTACACATACGTGTAACAAGTTCTTTTCATGCAACCTCAGGGTGATTAGGCAACCATTTCTTTTTGATCACAGAGGACAAGAGTGATGAAAGCAAGAGACTGAGGTTGTCAGTATGAAGAGCATTGTCAGCTGGACAGCACACAGGACACTAGCTAGAAATGTAAAGCAGGTTCCAACAATTCTAGAGCTTCGTTCTTGGCTTGCTCTTTTATCTGTAATTATATAATAGAATGAAGAATAAATGACAAGCCACACTTTCCCTCCAAGTGATTCCATTTCTACTTATAAGCTGAGTGAGAGCCGAAAGGGTTTAAAAATGCTTTCAGATTCAGCCACCTCTGTAGGGATGACACTGCATTTTGAACTCCCAGATGTCACAGTCTAGCCCTTCTCCACCAGCTTTAGCCAGAGCTGTCCTCTTTCATCTCAGCAAGCTTTCCTTTGAAAATGAAGATTTAAATGAACAAAACTGTTTTTGTTTTTGTTTTTCCTACAGTGTTAGTATGGCGATAGAGTTTGTCTGTATTGAGAGTCAAGTAGGATTTTAGGCTGAAACTTGCTCTTCAGCTATTCTCACCAGAGTTGGAAGCAAAACTGAAAACCTGGAAATTTGTGGTTTCTTATCCTCACCTGTTTACCAGCCAAGTTCCCCTGGATATTCTGCCCCCAAGGCAGCCCCACAGGGGAGCAAATCCTGAACTGCCCAATTTAGAGGGCCCCAGTTTCCTCACAGTCTCTGATAATGATAGTTACAGAGAAGCAGACTGTTCAGAGGAAGAGGCCCTTTGAGCTGTAGACACTCCTCCAGCTGGCCAGTTCCTCAAGCCAGAAGGCCAGGCCTGCCTCCTCTAAAGTGTGGTCTCTGAAATTCTTCCCTCCCCACTTTCCAATGGAAAACAGCTGAATAGAAGCCCCCCTGGACAGGAATGCCTGCTGGGGAGTAAAGCTCCCAGGGGTCTTTGTATTTTAAAGAAGTGGTTGCTAATCCAAATTATACTATTTCCTAGAATAAACCAAGGAGATGTCTTTAAGCTAGGAAACATTCCTTTCCTGGTGTTCTTTGTCCACTCTAAGCTATTAACACCCTAGCTAGTAGTCACAACCAAACCTTGGCTTCCATCCAGTTCTAGACTCCAGTTGGGTTTAACAGACTACAAAGATGACTTGTTCAGTAGAAGGGACCAAGATTCACAGAGCAGTGTTTCTCACTTCATTAAAAGACTGTTGTGCAGTCTGTTGCATGTTCCAGCAGTTCGTGTCACTTGATTGTTCCAGCTCACTACCAAGCAGTAAGCACCTTGGGAGCAAAGCTCCTCAGATTTCTGAGTTTCCACCAGAGGTGAGGAATAAGATGGCTGAATGCCACATGACTTGTTAATGGCAAAAATAGGACTTAAATTCCCTGATGTCCTATGTGAATTTCTCTCTTACATCACTCTCCCATGGTCAGCCATCGCTCAGTATATAACAAACAGCTCCAAAATGCAGTACCTTAGGGGACCCTTGTTTCTCTTTAGTCCATGGGGTCAGGAATTTGGACAGGGCTTATTAAGGCTATGCCTCTGTTCCACGTGGTGTTGACTTGGTCTCTCACGTGCCTGACTGCAGCTGTACTGAACTGAAAGACCCCAGAAATCCTAGTTAACATGTGGCGTCTCAGTGTGTCTCAAACTGTGGCCTTTTCCCTGTCAGGATTCTCTATTGGGTGTTCTTGCCTGAACTTCTTTGCAGCACTGTATTCATTTTCCTTTAGGAAAGCAGAGTTTGCCAAATCTCTTAAACTTTCCCCAAACCAGCATAGTTTGATTTTGCTGCAGTCTCCCAATCAAGGCAGATAGTAAGGGTAGTCCAGATTCAAGAGGCAAGAGATGCAAGAGATAAGAGCCTGAGAAGCGAAGGGAGGGATGGAGAAAGAGAGGGAAAGAGAGAAGAGGCTCTGCCAACAGCCCACCCTTTTCTACCTTAATGCCTCATTGGAGTTAGGCAGGTAGTGCCACCTGTCCTACTACCAGCCCCCGACCTTATCCTTTGGCTAATCTTCTGGCGCCATTTGTCTTTATTGGAGGGCGGGGGAGTGCCATACCTTAGAGGGTACATAAAGAGCATGGCTCATGCTTCTGTAACCCTGCAGTGCACATTCACAGTTCACTGTGAGCTGCTAGGTCTGGGCTCTGTGTCAAGGATTTCAGTACATATTGCTAAGGGCTGTCCAGGACATAGTTCTTTTCAGTGCTGCATACATGTGTTGCCAAATGGGATACAACTACCAGGAACCTTTTCAGCTACTAATTTCCATTGTGGCGGTCAGATTACACTCATTCTCTTAAAAAAGGAAAGGGATACCTCAGTAGGTTTTTCTTCCCTTTTTGTTCATGACACAGAGGACTTTCACCTATCTAAGGCTGAAAAATCTATTTTCTCACCTGTGCAGCTCTGGCAGTACTCTTCCTCCTAGTCTGACTATTTTAGCTAAAATGCCACAAATTAGGAGGGTTAGTTACTTTCTCATAATCTTCTAAATTTCTCTAGGAATGTTTTTTACATGTTTAATTTTTTTCCTTATAAAAAGAAGACTTTATCCTTTTGTTCTAGTTAGGTTGCCTTTACAACATAATTACTCAATCCAGAGTACTTCCTCCTAGAAATAAACAAAATGCCAGTGTCCTATCTATTAAGTAAGGAAATGGAAGGACACTACTCAGGAGCTGAGGGGCAAAACCTCTCCAAGCTCATTCAGAACTGATATGTTAAGGGACTATCCTTGTCTAGAAATGATGATATTTCTTTCATAAATAGAGGCCTTAAGCTTCTCAAGAGTGTGTGAAGAAATACGGAGTTGTCTAGGAAGCAGGGGCCAGTCAAATCCAATTTTCCCTTCTAATTTGTATCACTCAATATTTCTTAGAAATATTTTATGTACTTTTTATGTGAAGTTTTTATGTCAACAGTTACACATTGCATAAAGCTAAACTTCCGTTAGGAATACCCAGATTGTTTTTTAATCTCTTTTTCGCTGTTTATGTTTTGCTGGTGGTGGTGGGAGCAGTGACTTTGTTTTTATTTGCTTTTTCCTTTTGTCTATATTTGGGGGGAAAATGGTACCTCTTTAAAATAGTACAGATCACATACAGCTTTAGGGGTTTTATTTTAAGATTTTTTAATTCATCTTTATCTTCTTCATTTTAGGAAGAAGAATTAGAAGCCCAAATTTCCTTCCTTCAGGGACAGTTGAATGACTTGGATGCCATGTGCAAGTACTGTGCAAAGGTGATGGACACGCATCTTGGTGAGTGAGCTGCACTGGCCTGGGAGGGACGGTGCTCAGAACAGCAATAGTCTTTGGCACTGCTAGGCCCTGTGTGCTGCTCCAGCCATGGATCTTCACGGTTGGTGCTCACAAAACTCTAAGGGGGGCTGTCACTGCCCGAGTTCTGCCAGTGAGAAGACAAGCGTGGAGAAGAAGATGTCCCTGGATTTTTATCACTAGTAAGTGAGTGGGGATTCAAAATGAAGCATAAGGAATAGAGTTCACCTCCTGACTTCCATACTGCTCTTTGTCAATATCTGTCTCCTTCAAACAAAAAGGTTGAAACCCTTTCTAAATCAATCAGCTGCATTGTTGAGGCTACCCGTCTATAATCACTAATACGGTTCTTAATCTGATAATGCTTTCTTTGGTTTTTTAAATAAAGGGTTTTTTAACCATCCACCATAAGTATAAGACCTTAGAAACTAAGAAATGTTTTAATAGAAGTTAATCTTCATGTGAATCATAACATGCGTCACACCAGGAGTCTTCTGATGCTGCTCAGTTTGGAAAGGGCTTGGGTTTGGAATCCGTGGTCTCTACTGGGGCATTTTGACAGCTGTAGTAACTGCTGCTTCAGAAGCCTCTTTTGGGAATATTGTTGCTGAGGTTCAGCCCACTTGTAGATATCCTCTTCCATGTCTAGCATCTATAGTTTGGGAACAAATTAGGAAAATAAGACAGATACTGTTGTGAACAGGCCAGTGTGCTTCTCAGGCGTAAGGTAGAGAAATTATAGCACCAGGTATTGTAAGAAGTCAGGAGGTGCAAATGCTCGTACATGCTCATGTGTGTATACGAACACACATTCAAGTACACATGCCCCTGAGGGGAGCCAGAGGGTATCTAACAAGGCCTCTTACTACCAGCAGATCTTCTGGGTGTGGACCACTTCTGGGGTCTGCCCTGGAGATGAACTTTCCACCATCAGAGCCCATCAAGCGATCTCTAAGCCCATTCAGTCTCGAGTTCATTACAAGTGAGCAGTATGCTTGACATTTGGATGTAGCCTGAACCGTACTGACCTCAAGTGAGTAATAGATGTTTTCTTACGATGTGGAAAGATGCTGATCTAAATGACTAGCTGGCTGCCATTGCCTCATGAAGTAGCTAACCAGGCCTTGGTCTACTTTTAGCCTTATTTTTACTCTCTGAAGCCTCCTTCGGGGAAAGGGGTGAAGAGGAAGAAGCAGCAGGAGAGATCTTGGTAGATAGCCAACAAAGAGTTGACGTCTTGTCCCTTACAGATCTTTTCTGTATTTGCTACTTGATGATCATTTCAAAAATTCAAATGGGACCAAGTTTACATGACTCTTGTATTCTCTAAGAGGGTCACACTTTATGTCAAAAAGAAGCATTGGGTAGGGGAGATGGCTCGGTGGGTAAAGTGCTTGCCCCCACAAACCTGATGATCTGAAGTCAAATTCCCAGGACCCATGGAAAACAGCCAGGCACAGTAACACAAACACCTGTAATCCCAGCATGCTCCTACAGAGAGATGAGAGGCAGAGACATCTGCAGAGGCCTGCAGGGAAGCTAGCCCACATTAGCAGTGAGGAACACACCCTGTCTCAAACATGATGGAAAAGCGAGACTGGCACCCAGAGGTTTTCTTCTGACTTCCATACGCTCTGTGGTACATGTGCACCCACACACATGAATAATTCCCATACTCATAGGCTACACACATACACAAAAATAAGAATAAAAAGTAGAGCCCAGCACAGTGGTGCACACCTTTAAATCCAGCACTCAGGAGGCAGACTCAGGTGGAGCGCTCTGTGAGATCAAGGCCAATCTGGTCTCCATAGCAAGTCCAGTTCAGCTGGGGCTACAGGGACCAAAATAAATAGATAGATAGATGATTGATGATAGATAGATAGATAGATAGATAGATAGATAGATAGATAGATAGATAGATGATAGATAGATGATTAGATAGATAGATAGATAGATAGATAGGACATATTGATGGATGAACTGTGAAAGGTGTTGATGACAGTGGTGATTGAAAGTGAAAAATCCAAGTATTTGAAATAGAAAATACTGCCGTCACTATGGGTGTGATGATCAAATTGTCTTGTCCTGTCTAATAAAGGTGGATATCCCATAACAGGAATGGGCCATTGCTGGGATAATTTAGAACTACTGTCATGGAAGAGGAGCTAATAAAATTGGAAAGAGTATGTAAATACACAATTTAAATCCTTGTGATTCTGTACATTGATTTTCATATGACAGGACCATAAACAACGTTGATCAACCATGAAAGTGAACTTCGCCAATTATAGGAACTTTAAATATATAACCAAGTTATGGAGGTAGTTTATATATAAATTATATATATATAGTCTATGACTAATTTTGGATATTTAAATGTAATTTAATTTCAAAGTGTTTACCTGTGTATTTTCTGTTTTTCTTGGTACTTAGGTCAGTGACCTTCGTATTATTTCAGTTTTAGTTTTGAGAAATGAAATGATTAGGAGAAAAATTTAGTGAAACTTGCAAAAAATCTTTTTAGGAAATTTCCCAGTTGTTTGGTACACACAACAGCTTTTAAAGCAGCTTTACTTAAACCTCAGAATTTCTAAGCAGCTTTTTCTCTGATTTCTACAGTAAAAGAACATCTTCTCAAAGCCTGGGGAGGGGGAAAGACTTTAATTAAAATGGAAAGAAAAGCCCATACCAGCTATGAGCTTCCAGCTAACTGCAAAAGTATATTTGTTTCTGTCCATACCTTTCTCTTCAGATAGAATCTTTTCATGTAGTTGTTGACTTCTTTCCTCATATATATAGCATGGCTTCGTTTTTAAAGGGCTGAGGGATGCTAGGAAGAATTCCCTTCCCCAGGGCTGCAGAAGATAGCGATGATTTATTAAAGGTTGCTTCTGGTTGTAGACAATTATTCAACCCAAAGATTTGTGTAAAACACAAGAATTTATTCAGGTGAAGGCTTACTTTTTAGCTTAAATTTTTTTAAAAGAGTTATCTTAATTACTCTAGCATTTGTTCCATATGATGTGGTTGTTAAATTTTTCATTATAAAGTAGATCAAAATTGGAATGACTGAAGTATCCATTAATAAGAGATTGACCATGACATAGCAATACAATCTTTATAAAGATTAAAATACTTTTTATTGATGTGGATTACATTTAGAAAGTAGAATATATTTAATATGAAAATTACTGTTAATAGCAGTTTTCAGGGAAAGAAAGATTATAGAGGAATTTATCAATGAACCTGAAAGATTAAGACAGTCACTGAAAATTCTGGACAGCTTAGGTGTGCATAACTAGCACTTGGAGATCAGCCTCGTTCAGAGCAGGCAGGAGGCAGTGGTAAGAGTGGCAGTGCTGGAGAAAAAGAGAACCTTGTGTGGGATCAAGAAGACCTGGGCTAAATCCAGCTTCAGTCAGTTAACTCGCCTGCCTGAGTGTGTCCTCATCCTCAGTGAAATGGAGATGAAGAATATCAATCTTAAAAAAAAAAAAAAAAAAAAAAGGATAACAACTCGCTAGGTTGTTACCAAAGTTTATTTTTAAACTCTAACATAAGGATGCTCAACATGGGTCATCTCCTCTTCCCCTTAATCTCATCAAGCCCAGAGTCATAGTGCTGAATAGTCTTATCCAGGAACTCACAACTTCTTTGTTGAAGTTCTTGGGCCAGTATTATATCTCATAACACCACTAATTATTCCTGTATCAAAAGATGCTCGGGATTTTGTTATGTTGGCTCTACAATTAGGCTGTAAGTTCACTAAACAAGAATAACTTAATCACAACTTGGTTCCTGGGCACTTTGGGCCTTGGAGCCTGCTTAGTCTCAACTCTCTGCAGGCCTCAGGCTGTCAAGGGAGCTTTGATGCTTTTTGAGAGCTTCATTCTACCAGGTTTCCTCGGGATTCTTTGCTAAGGTTAATTATTTTCTCTGTTCTGTTCATCTCAAGAGAATTCCTTATCACTCAGTGTTTTCATCACATGGGCAATAAATATCTTAAAATGTCAAGTACTATTTAATGCTGTTTTATAACTGATAGCAGAACATAGAAAAAGCTTCTCAGAGAAAAAATATATAATGATGTTTGCTCAAATGGTCTTTTAATTACAGGAGTAATAACACTGACAGGTTAGCAGTATTTCCTCTTGGCTCTGGAGCCCAATACTGAAAGAATATTTGTTTTGTCAGAATTCTAATTCTATTAACTCCATGTAATTGAACTACGTGAAATACAGAAATTTAGAGACAGGAATTAAAAGTATGTGTTTTATTAAATCTAAATGTCCCCTGTCAATTTCAGACTTCTTTTTAACATGTTCGTTTTTCTGTTGCTATAGTTACTCCCCTCCTTGTCATCCAGACGAGTTGAAAACCATTGACAACATTAACCTCTGTGGCTGAGCCCAAGCTATTTTTAAAGTTGCTGAACTTCAACACATATTTGCACATGGGTGAGCAGCCTGCACTTGTGTGATCTGTAAAGAGCTGAGCTCTGCTGCCAACGCACGGACATAGCTGCTCCCTCTGCTGCACTGCCATGCCCACAGCAGCCTGCTCTGATCCTCCATTCAGTTGTTGGGGCTTAGACCCTCCTTTCCAGCAGCATGTTGCCTATGTAGAGGTGCCATACATACAATGAAAGGAATATATGCAGCAAATTAAAGGAAATTGCCTTTCTGTGCTCTTGTTGACAGCACTCTAGCTTGTAGAATCTTACATATTAAAGATGTAGGAGGCTGGAGAGATGGTTCAGTCCTTAAGAATATTGGCTGCTCTTGAGTTCCCAACACTGAGTCAGACAGCTCACAACTGCCTGTAACTCCAGCTCTGGGGAATCCCATGCCCTCCTCTGGCCTCCATGGGTACCTACACATATACTCAGGAGTAAAATTAAAATAAATCTTTTTTTAAGAGGAATATTAAAGATGTAAATGTCCTGAAAGCCATTCTAGCTGTTTTGTATTCTACTGACA